ATTTATAACATTCAGCTGCCTGCACAGATAACTCCATATAATTCCATCTCTCCTGTGATTTCCTTTCTAAATGTTACCAAACTTGTGTTTTCAGGAAGTTTTCTTCTTTGTTTTTTTGGTTTGGTTTTTAAAATCAGATTAACATAGATAATATCACAATGCTGATATAAATACCACAAGGGTTTAGAAAGTCTGCCAGAGTTTCTATACATTTTTGGTGGTGTAATAATGAAACAACCCACATTTGGGGTTTGTAACACTGCAAACAGTAACATATACAATGTACTAAATGACATCATTTGTTTCCTGACTGCATATCTTCTAGACATAGCCATTAGAATTTACAGTTAGTTCAGTGTTAAAGCATTAAATACAACTTTATTCTGTATCAGGATAAGAGCTTCTTTTACTTACCAAACTTATTGATTCATGGCCATCAGTCCATTCTACTTACAATGCTCACAGGCTTCAGACTTGGCTTTTTAAAACATTCCATATAGACACATAACTCAAGACTTAACTTTTAAGAAACCTGAAATTCCTCAGTGTCCCCCCCATCTACACTGAGTCATTTTGCATCTTCTAATACGCCATAATTGATAATAAATTATCAATTTATGCTCATTACTCAACTGAAAAAGATTTAAGCATGCAGACACACTTCTAACAGATAAGATACAAGTATTTCACTGCTGTGTTCAGGTTTTGCAAGACACACTGTACTGCAGGAAGAGTGCTCAGACTTCACTCTTGCTTCCATCTTTTCACTGTTGTTACCAAGCCTGCACTCATCTCTTTTGCAAGTATTGACCTCACATTTCAAATCAAGGGAAGTTTGGTCTGTGAGGTCAGCATATCCTTTCCAGACTTCTGTTGCTACTGAGATAGCTTGGGAAATAAAATACACTATTACATATCATTAGTGTCTTTTCTTGGATTTTGGTGAACAACCCCATTCTCCATGAAAGTAAATGGCCCATTAAATGGAGGAAGTGCACAGAAGAGAAATGATGCCTCTGGGAGGAACTGGATTTTTATATTCAGTTTTGTTTCCATTTATCCATTTATCCAAGAAGTCATAACTCCTGGGACAGAAGTGAATGCCTCAGTATGTTAGGCCTCTCTGCTAACTCTGAATTATTCTTTAGATACAGGGTCATTTTTTTTGTATTATTAATTAAATTTTAGTTCAGAGGGCAGTGCCAAAGAGCTATAGATCTTCCAGTTGTAGCTCAGGGTTCATCTTTAGGCACAGCAGCAAAAAGACTAACTCTTGCCAGCACTGAAGACCAAGGACATTCTATATAAATTTGCACCCCAGTCTCCATTCCTGTATGAATATTCTCTTCCCCTTTTCTCTTCACCTGCATTCACCATAGAAGATGCCCCCAAAAAAACTCCTCAGTGAAAGAACCACATTGAAGGTAAAAACAAGTAGGTGTTTTTCTAGCCTTGTATCATTCCACTAGAAGTCACAGAGTCAAACACATGTGGTTTCATGCATTTCTAATTTCAGGACAATTCGAGTGCTGTACTCTGGCTTGGCCAATAAAGATTGTAGGTCAAGTGTTTTCAGTCTCTTCCAGACTAGCAAGAGATGGAAATGCAAATATCAGGGATAATAAGGTTTAAATCTGCACAAATATTTACATCTGCAATATTCAGATAAGCTTTGCTGGCTATGAGAAGTCTGAAGAGCAAACAGACCAGCTCTTGGAGGAAATTCTACTCTTGCAGTACAACAGAGAAATGGTTCTGTATTTCTCTGTTAGGAGCAGCCTGTTTTCCATGGGTGATGGCAAACTGCTGTGGCTGTGACACCTGCATTCATCCTATATATTGTATTAAAAATTCTTTGCAGAGGAACAACCTTAAAAATCAAGATAAGCATGATTTTTTTAAAGATTGCTTGACATCCCTAAAGTGTCAGTCCATACCAATCCAACATTATCTGTTGTGTCTGAAGTGTCACTGCTGCACTCAAACCAGGTAATCCCAGCTCCATGGAAGCCATCAACAGTTTCTAATCCGTTCCTGGGGCATTCATCAACTGCTTTTGGTTATTCATTTAATTTCTTGAACCAATGTCTCAATATGTTTCTGCAACTGATAAACCCCTAAAGATTTCAATAAGGCTCTAAATGGAAAAAAAAATCTGTACTCTGTACTCAGAATTTACCAATACTTCTGTTCTTATTCTAGTGTTATTAATCTGCAGTATATTTTGATGTATCTGCAATGTATTTTGATGTGTGTGAAGATCCCCAAAAAATAGACCTCAGGATTGGTACTTGCATCAGAATTGAAAATAAAACAAAATAAAAATATGGTTAATATTTTTCTGTCCCAACAACCTTTCTTGAACATCAGAGTGTATTTCAGGATGCCACTTTACTTTGTCAGTGTTCACTTTTTGTAGGTCTTATGTTTAAAAGTAGCAACACATCAGTACTACATGGAAAGCTTTTCTTAAGTGAAATATCTCTATATTGAATTCTCTGCTTTGTATACCAAAAGAATTATATAACAAGCACTGCATAAAAAAAAATTAAAAATAAGGCTCTCAGAAGAAACAATACTGTGAGCAGCAAATTGAACAGAAGAACAAGGAAGTGTTCTCTGTTACTGCTTTTCTGTAGGTTAACACTGAGTACTTTATGTTTTCATAGCTCAAACTCCTTTTCTTATCATTTGTTGGTGATATGAACAATTTTATGTGAGTCCTTTAAAAATTCTTTTCAAAAAAACCAGTTGGAAATCTAAAGTTCATTGACACTAAATATAAGACTCCCAAGGCTGCAGCTGTGGAGGTGGAGTCCCTTGGGGAAGGGAAGCCAACATTAGCAAACTTCAGGGCAGCACCCAGATTTAGGATGCTGATTTCCCTGGATGTTTACAAATTGCCATTTGAAAACAAACAAAAAAAAAAACCAAAAAAACAAATCCAACCCAAACCTAAATTCTAAGAGAAAAATTTCTGTTAATTTCCATAGCTTGAAATATTCTTCTGCCTGACAAACAGCACTGTTGGTAAACAGTCTACACAAAGAATTATTGTCCATAATTGTAGTATAACCCAGAGCTGTTTATTTTTATCAATAACCAAGGCTAAGCAAGTAGAAGTTCCTTTTAGGAAAAGACATGTGGAAGCCAAATAGGATTTGTTTACACTTCTCCATTCAGACTTCAATCAACACTGCACCAGAAACCACAAAGGGCTTCCCTAAAGAATGGTAAAATAAAAATATCAAGGAAAATTTTAGAAGGCCAAAAAATAAGATGGTATTTCCTTTAGGTAATCATTCATAACACCCCAAAACACTAAGACAAAGCATCAGTATTTATTTGATTCTGCTCATGAAGATAAACAAAGAAAATCTCCAAACTCTGACAAGGTCAGAGATGTTTGTTAGCACTGTTTCTACTTCAGGAATATTAAATAAGTGTTTGCAACACATAGTAGCAAGACAAAATCCTTTTTAAAAGAAAATAAGATTTTTTTTCTGAATGGAAGAATCAAACAAGGGAGTGTGGTTTATTTTTATTCATGCAGAATTCTGAGCAACAGTATATTGCTTATGCTGGAAGTTCATTTAATTCTTTATCAACAAGTTAAGCTCAACAGGTTAGTTTGTCATTTAAGGAAAATAGCTGAGTAAATCACTTAGCACATGCACAAGTTCTTGAGTGACACTTCTATGGGGTAGGAGAAGTATTTTAAAAAATTATGAAATAGGATCCCAGGGTAACAGACAGACCCCAAATTCCTGACCTTACAAACCCTGATGACATACAAGAGAAAATTTCACAAGTGCATCTACTATGAAAATTCTGTTTCACAAAAGTTACTGAAGGCTTCAGAGAAAGAGAAATTAGAAAATTTCTATTAGGGAAAGCAAAAGCCACCTGTTTTTATTACAAAAGAAAGATCCCAACCATTTGACCATTTTAATGTGCAAGAACTGAATTTATAATCTATAGAAATATAGAAATATAGAAATATAGCATATAGCATATAGAATATAGAATATAGAATATAGAATATAGAATATAGAATATAGAATATAGAATATGTTCCAAACATTATTACCATTTGATTCATATATTCAGCTACTTCAGCCAGTCTGAAAGGTGCAGACTTCCCCTGCACTTCAGTTGTCCTGTCCCAGGATATAGAGTATCAATTACATTCAGATATTCTCCACTTGCCAAGTCTGTGTTTTGTTCTGGGCAAGTGAAATCATGATGAAAATCAAATTGTTCTCTGGGAGTTGTGAAAGCCACAATACTTATGTAGTCCAAAAGAAATCAGAGTAGCCATTCCCAGAAGCTGTTTCCTAGGTGAAGAACTACCCAATGCTTAAGAAGACTTGTGGGGATTAACTGGGATTCCATTAATTAACTGCAGATATGTCCCCTTGGTTATATTAGACAATCCAAGGCAGCTACAGTCTGTATTTTTCATGCCTGTGAATTTTTGGAAAAATTCAAATTTCAAAATGCTCACAAAAATTGACATTTTTGTGGATCTATTCCATGTATACACAACACCTGCCCAATATAAAAACAAGCAATATGCATTTCCCTCTTTACATATGACAAAAACCCAGAAGAAAACCAGTCAAGGAGCCACAGTGACAGGCACTAGAGAGCACAGCTTATAGACACACTTTGCAAAGTCTCCTGTCAGAGCAGCAGCTCAGGCTGCTCTAATTTACACAAAAATGATATCATCTCCTATGGAAAGCTCATCTTCCTGCAATGCCAAGGTAACAGCCTCTTGTTGCCCACGCCATGTGCTAGAGGATTCAGGAGACACAGATTCTTTTTAAGCAATAACTTCTACCCTCTATCTGAACTAAAAATTAATCCCTATAATGCTTGCATGACAGCAACAATTCCTATGTTTTCCTTGCTGGGTTTTACAGTTTCATTGCCACATGTTACATGAGGAAGTAGACAGAGATTTGAGGAAATAAGTTATATAAATACATGCTTACCAGCTGGTGCAGAACACGAGCAGTGAAGTTGAAAGCCGTGATAATCAGCACATGATTGACTGAATTTGCTTTGCTTAAAATCTGGCTTGGAATCCCTTTTGCTTTCAGTCTCATCTGACGAAATCTTATCCAATTCAATTACAACAGCTGACATTTCGATAGTTTTAGTAGAGATCAGATTAAAAACAAAACTGAATAAAAAGAGAAGCAAGTTTTAATTCAGCTTGCCCAAATTTGCAGTCTGAAAATAACTTCCTATCAGAAATTAAAAAACAAACAACAGACTGTAAGAGTGCAGAACGTTCAGGTTCTGTTGTTGTTGCTGTTATATCAATGACAGAGAAACTTTATTTCCATGAAGCTGTTCTTCCATCTCCGAAGGATCTGACAAATATCTCAGCTCGCCTCTAAAATAGAAAACTACTTTCAAAAGTTCTTCTGTCCTTGCAGTAGCAACCACATTATGACATTTCTGAATAACTGCCAGAAAAATAGCAAGGATAAGCAGAGACATTTGTATGCCTGATAAATTGTGGACTTCCTGACTTAAATTAAGAGTCTAACTCCCATTTTGTTCCCCAGCTGGGAGGGGCTAATATCGATGGGAGAGAGTGCATCCCAACCCATCCTGGCATCTGTGCCTTGTTACCTGTACCACAATTATGTTTCCTTAGTGAACACTCAAGTCATTGTATGGGATGTGTGTAGGAGGATGAATTACCAAAAGCTATGTAATTCATTGAAAATGAGTAAGAAATGCTTCACAGTTTTTTCTGCTTATTATTTTAGAGCACTGAGTATAAAAAATGTGTCTTTCTAAGAAAATATTAAGTAAGAGTAATGTTAGGGAAAGTGGTTTAATCTTTCAAGCTTTTTCTTCTTTTTTTTTTTTTTTTGTTCCCTCAAATGCAACTAGATCTCAACAGAATTCAAGACATGAAAATGATCCATCTCTTTCTAACCTCTCTCAGCAAACCTCTGAGCACTCTCACAGTGACTCCCACTCTCCAGTGGGAGTCACCCACTTGGAGATGCTGGGAAGCCTGCAGAGCAACCAGGCAGGAGCAAGGAGATGCTCCAGGGGAGGGCATGTTGCATTAAGAGGCTTGGAAGCACACTGCCAACCCATAAATTCCTAAAGAATAGCAGGGGACATAAAGCATGAATTAATTACTGAAGCAGGCAACACGAGAAAAATTGCCAAACCTGAGCTATAGAAAGGGTGATGTGCAATTTGCCAGCTATTAGTTTGCTATCCCTTTCTAATTTTCTCTTTACACAGTGAGACAGAGAAGAAAATAATGCAAAGAAAAACAAAATATCTATGTAGCCATGCAGCTTTTACTAAACATCCCCTTGTGCAAAAGTACAACAAATCCAAAAATCCTAAACTCAACTTGAAAAGCATGGAAACATCAAGTTTAAATATAAGTCAGGTTTTAAACTGATGGTGGTATCCTCAATAATCTCAATGCAAGCAGGGAGCAGGTGGAGGTTCCCTGTGCTTGCAGTAGAAACTCATCCTCAAACAGGACCCAGTTGTATTTAAAAATAAATTAATTGATCTATTTACCAGTGGGATACTTATTTAAATATTTAGGTTGAGGGAATTTCTATGAGATAATATCTAGATGGGATATGATTTCATCTAGGAACCCAACTGAGGTAAAAAAGCTAATACTAATAAATACAGAAAGAGGGGAATGGGACTGTAAAAATCAGTCAGAGGGGAAGCTTTCCAAGGAGACCAGAAATATGTGACAGTTTTGCTTTCATTTCACTTCAATTAATGCACATCAGGGGCAGGAAAAGCTTGATGCTGAACAAAAGCTTGATGCTGAACAAAACTTTAGAAAGGGTTATATAACAGGAAAAACAAACAAGTGTGGTTTCTGGAAGGCAAACCCAGGATGGCTTACACCAAGAAAGGGAAAAGACAAAATATTCAGACCAAAAAAAAGTGTTGTTGTTTGTTTTTTTTTATAATAGCCTTCCATTCCAGTTCCTCTTAAATATGTAAAGTCTACTTATGGAGCCAGGTGACAGAGAGGGGTTGAACACCTGGGCTGTGACCAGTCCTGTGCCCCGAGGGGAGTGTGCAGAGCCTGTGGACAGGACAGGGGCACCAAGGAAAAGATGAGTGATCGTGTGAATGGAATGTATAAATGTGTAATGTAAACAATAAATGGCTTCTGTGAAATCATATTGGTTCATTGTCCAGAGGTCCTGAGCTCGGGACAACTCATACTTCTGTCATTTATGCTGGCTGAAGTAATCTTACTTTGTCTTCTGAGAGAAACTTCCCCAAATGAAAGAGCTGGCTGCTAAATTTTTCAGAAATTTTACCAGAGGTAAACATGACTATAGATCTTTCTCTCACACAAAAGCAACCCAGAGGTTCAAGAACCAACTTTACCCATCCACTTTCATCTTGCACAGATAATCTAGCCTGGGAGCAGCTGAAACCCCATTTCCTTTGTCATATTTGCTTTTCATTCTATGCTCTTTTTCCTCTTCTCAAATGGATGTCAAAAACTTATTTGCTGTTTTAATTTTTTTTTGTCAAGTAATTTTCAGTGGTTCTGTTTCTTCCTCCCTGCGCTATCCAAGACTTGTCACTTTAGGCAAGAAATCTGAACAATAAAAAAATATTGGTTTTACAAATATAGATATCAATTCCGCTTATAGAAATAGAATGTAAAAATATTTTAAGTATCATTTAAGTAATTTTCAGGGAAAGAAAGAAAAAGAAGGAAAGAAGGAAAGAAGGAAAGAAGGAAAGAAAGAAGGAAAGAAAGAAGGAAAGAAAGAAGGAAAGAAAGAAGGAAAGAAAGAAGGAAAGAAAGAAGGAAAGAAGGAAAGAAGGAAAGAAGGAAAGAAGGAAAGAAGGAAAGAAGGAAAGAAAGAAGGAAAGAAGGAAAGAAAGAAAGAAAGAAAGAAAGAAAGAAGGAAAGAAAGAAAGAAAGAAAGAAAGAAAGAAAGAAAGAAAGAAAGAAAGAAAGAAAGAAAGAAAGAAAGAAAGAAAGAAAGTTTAAAAAATAGAAGATAAGACAGAAGATTTAGTGTTGTCTCTTTTCCTTCTTTCTTCTTCATTTTCTTCTTTTAAAGGTTTTTAAGTATTAAGTGATTAGATAGAAATGTTGCAGTGCAGCACACAGGTGTCATTAGGTCATTAAGAAAAATAATTTACTTGTCTATTGTTAATTAGGTAAAATAAATAAAGATAAAAGAACTGCATAGTTCAGAGCCATTTTGTGACTTCAGAACCAAAGTGTGCCAGGCTTTAGGAAATCAAACTTGTGCAGAAAGTCTGGAGAGACCTGCCAAGTTCTGTGATAACATCCTAATAAACACAAGAAACAAGATCCTGACAAGCTTTGGAGTTTTTGTCCTGACCCAGAGAACTGAGATAAACAGAACTCCCCGTGAGGGAGCATCCCAAAGGAGCTCAGCTCAGAGGAGACCGAGAAATCCAAGTTTGAGAAGTGCAAAATCAAAAAAGAAAAAAGAGTTACATCTTATATTGACATTTACTTTCTCCCTGGTGCTAAATATGCATACATGGGAAGATACAGCTTTTCTGAGCAGATGCTGTGCAACAAATGTTGCTCACATTCTGTTGGAGCATTCCTTGAGCAAACCTTGTTCCTAGTTTAGGTATCCATCCTTCTCATCAACACAAGCAATAATGACCCCTCACATCACGGGGCAGATCCACTTTCCAGACACACTCTGCAGAAGGGAAAAGAAAGAGCTGACACAAAATCCCTTTTCACAGTAGTCTCCTTCCCAGAGTTCTTGTTAATAACTTCAAGAGAAACAGAAAAGTGGATGAATGTAGGTAAGGGAGGCACAGAAATAGTTGTCTTACACACTCACTGAAGAACCTGTGTAATTCCATGTAAACCTGAGCAGACAAAATGAAGAATGTGTGAGTATTCCCACACACACACGCCTTTCCAGGCTGCAGTGTGATGTGAGAAATGCTTGTTAGGCCTTGCTCTTGAGAACACCACCTGGGCTCAGCTCTTTCTCAGCTTATCAGAACACTCTTCCTAGGAACTCCAAACAAATTTCTGTTTTTCTCATGACCAGCCTTGGAAAATTATTTCTCTGGCCTGAATGGAGTAACATTCTTACTCTCACACTTTCAAAGAAAGTGCCAACCCAAACTGTAGCCAGGATGAAACGTTGTTATGACCAAAGCCCGTTCTCTTGTGACCTATATAAATACCAAAAGAGGTCCAAGATGGGCCCTTTGAGCTCTCCTGGACCACAGCAGCAGCAATCTCCCTCTGGGTGGGACACCTCTCACATGTAATTTCCTGTACCTGGAGGATTGCTGAAACACCACGTGTCCTGGTCTGATCCTTCACCCATCAGCAGATAAAAAAGCATCCAAAGTGATTATTTTCACTGACCTGTGAGGGAGATTTTTCCACAGGTACCTTATCTGGCACTATTTCTGTCTGTGTGTATACCATTGCACATATACTATAGCAAATCTGGAAGTTAGGCTAAGTTATAGTTTTAATTTAGGCTAAATGCTGTTAAGTGTTATTTCTCTGTTAGATTGTTAAGGTTAAAGTATAAATTAAGGTATAAATTAAAGTACTGTTAAGTGTTGTTAAGCTTTATGCCACATTCCTCTTCATCCTTGTTTACACTGTCTTTACACACACACACCCACACACACACCCCTGGGCAATTTAAACTGATTTCTGTATTTATTGCCTGGATTTTGTTTGGTTTTGTTGTTGTTTGCTTTCCCTTCTTGTGCCTTAGTTGTCCTTTGTAAGCAGAGTGAATCTGGCCAACTAATCTGTAATATTAAATCTGACTTTTGCTCATACCCTTGTTGGTGATTTTCTGGGCAATCTCAAGAACACACAATCGAGACAGTTCCCCACACCAAATACAGGATTTCATTTGTAGCAAAGGTCATGAAAGAATTTTTCCAGAATTCTTTCTTCATTAAGAGATAACACAAAGCAGCACTTACTGGTTGGTTATTTAAATCAGGATTTTCCTCAATACCCAACTACACTGTAGGGCTTCACTTGTAATAGTGTTTATTACTCAGCAAAAGAGTGACATTTTCAGAAAAGTACAGGACAAAGGATATTTCCTTCTTTCACAGAGAAATCTCTCCATCATGTTAATTAACCTTTCCAGATTAACACACACTATCTAAATAACCAAGTTAAAATGCAGATTTCCCTGTTTTACAATAAGACTGTGGGTACTCCAGAACAAAATTTAAGGCACATGTGAGCATCTGTAATTTCAAAAACATAAACATTATTCTGCAAGCAAGAAGCAAGAAACCTTATTGAACACAACCTCAATGTATACAGAACTAATTTGATTTATATATAAGAAATTAGCAATTCCTGTCATACCAAATAGAAAAAGAGACCATAAAGATCTTGCGCTGTAATAAACCAAGATAGTTTTTAAAATATTTCTCCTTTAGCACGCTTTTTGATGGTCCTATTTTATTAATTTAAGAGTTAACAATTTAGATTCTGATAGAAGTTAATTATACAAAGAGGTAGGAAAG